CAGTGTGTGTATCATGAGACTATTGTCTCACCAGATTTTGCACATTTTTAAAAGCTGTACTGGGTCTTCCCCGGGGCCTCCTCCCGGTGGGACATGCCTGGAACACCATCCTAGGAAGGCACCCAGGAGGCATCCGACACAGATGCCCGAGCCACCTCAGCTGGCTCCTCTCGATGTGGAGGAGCAGTGATTCTACTCTGAGCTCCTCCCGGGTGACTGAGCTCCTCACCCTATCTCTGAGGGTGCGCCCAACCACCCTGCAGAGGAAGCTCATTTCGGCCGCCTGTATCTGGGATCTTGCCCTTTTGGTCATGACCATAGGTGAGAGTCGGAACGTAGATCGACCAGGAAATCAAGAGCTTCTCCTTACAGCTCAGCGCCTTCTTCATCACAACGGACCGGTACACTGACCGCATTACTGCAAAAGCTGCACCGATCTGCCTGTCAGTCTCCCATTCCATCCTTCCCTCACTTGTGAACAAGACCCCAAGATACTTGAACTCCTCCACTTGAGGCCGGAACTTCCCACAAACCTGAAGGGAACAAGCCACTCTTTTCCGACTGAGAACCATGGCCTCGGACTTGGAGGTGCTGATTCTCATCCCAGCCGCTCTTTCTCTGTATTACTGACAACCATGATTGGCCACACAGGCGCCCTGTAGCACTTTAGTCAGTCAGGTGACACCATTTATCACATTAGTGTGAAAACTCTTTATGACTCAACTTCACACACATTGGAAGAGGCTGTGCTGAGCAATTGTATTAAATATGCCAGAAATGTGGCACAAAAACTAATCTTAGATCATGTAAGTGAACCAGGGTCAATCATTTTTAAGTGTATTGTAAAAATGAAGCATCTGTGAGAAGACCAGCTATAGTGTATGTCTCTCCAGTAACAACAGCTGCAGACAGACTTGGAGCATGAGTAACTAAACAAATGCGTCTGGAGCCAAATATTCATTAAAAAAGTCTGGTTAGTTCTGGGCTGATGGCTCTTCATCTCCTGAAGAAACAAGCTCATCATTACCCACATGGTGTGGGTAATGATTCTTGCAGCAGAGTTTTTCTTATGGTTCGAAGGAGCCTATTGGGAATACCACAGAGGATGGAATTACAGCGACATGAGAGGATGAAGTCTGATCTATTTAAGATACAAGAAGGCAAACTATATTTCAAAGCTTACTTACTGGGCCACTGGCTCCTGAATACTTTTTCATATGGATAACTACACATCACGTTACGGTGACCGCTGCTGTTCTGTTTCCTGCAGTACATCCGCTCTCCACATGTGTCTTTACCCTCATTTCATCCTTCTTCATCTCATCAAATCTCTTCCACAGCTGCTCACCTTTTGTCTTCTGACTGAAGCCTCAGGCCTGTTCTCAAGCAGTTGCACACTATCGTGACACATTAACGGGGTCAATGCCTACACCTTATTACTTTAAGAATCTTCTATCATTTTCTGTCCACTTTGTTCTGTGTGGCTCAAACTTAGCAGAACATGAGGTAACGAAGAGCAGGGTGAGCAAGTTGTGGCCTTGAGACTACTGCAGTAAGAGTAAATATGTACAACATGAATGTGTGTCGTGTATAAGCTGGAAGATTAAGCATCCATCTACTACAAAAGGGAATCGCCATTGTTCAGTCCACAAAGCCAGCTACTGATTGCAGAGCATCATCTTTCCTTATAGAAACCAGAACAAAGCTGACAGTGAGATTTATCCACCAGCAGCACCTGCAGCATAATAACAGTTTGGGAAACAAAACTGACTCCTGTTTTGAGTCTGTCACAGCATGTGTGTCCTCACAACTAACTGTACCACTCCCTCGAGGATTCATGTGACACCTCATACTCATGCAAAGGTCATGGGATACTGCCATCACAGAAAATTCAATGATTGTTTCCTCATTTGGTTGAAAATGTAGACTCCTCTGACACCACCTACTGGCAGGCATTACAGCTTGGAGTCATCTTCGATATGTCTGGATTTTGAGACTTCCTCTCTTCGTCCAATCTGGACGCTGTTGGGTTTGGGGAGTGTCTGGGGAAAGCTGTCATCCTGCTATTCTGCATAAAGTCAGTGGCACCTGAGGCTTTGGTTGGACCTGTCGTGGGACTTATTAAGATTGCCCTTAATGTTGACGTAGTTGCATGCTCAAGATTAAAGTCCTGCAAGGGAATAAACTGCAAAATTTGTCTTAATGTTTAAGTTGTTTTAAAGCAGGGTTGCTTTGAGAATTTGTCTTCAAACTGTTTAGCTTCATTAAATGGTTCCTTAGTCTTTCTTCAGTCGCTAAATTGTTACGTTTTGGTATCTTCAAACAGTGGAATGTTTTTCTTCATGGTCTTTCACAGTTTCTTTCCACCTTCACCACATGTGTTTCAGTGTGGTTTCCTTCTGCCGTGACTTTCAGCCAGATCAGATCTTTGAGTTGTTGCACTAACTCTAAAAGGCACGGTACCCTGTGACTGTAAACTTGTCAGAGCAACTTGAGGTTCCCATTTTACAGTACTTTCTCTAAATCACAGAATATACTATGCTCTTATAAGGTTTTTTTGCATTTGATTCTTTATTTGGTAGCTGGAGTGAAGAGAAATAGGGAGTAAGACAGACAGTGATCTACAAGTGGCTGTAATACATCAGTACAGTAATTTCCTGCTAATAAAAGTTGAACTCCTCCAGCAAATGCAGGACTGAAAGAAAACTGCTTGCAAGCAAACACTTATGTAAACAAATAATGTTTTATAAGGAAGCAAATGCATTATACACCTTTGTCAGACTTCAAGGATACATACAATGAACGCGTTTACATACACTTAAGTAACCAGGTTACAATCGACTTTCTCGAGTAAGCTGATTTCTTAACCGTCATGTAAATGGGAAACCTGGTTTCTGTAATCAGTGTAGGGGATTAGAGAAACCTGATTTCCCCAGGTAGCTTTCTCCCAGAGAACGCAGATTTCTCTGCCATGTATACGAGTAGCCGGGTTTCTAATCAGCTTTCCACAAGAATGCATATGCAAAAGTCATGCTCCAAGGTTGCTTGTGCACGTGTGACTGGAGAAAAACAGGAAGCTGTCATGGGCATAAACAGACGCTTATCAAAATGGCGAGCAGCAGCCCAGACCAAGACATGACTAATGGGGTAGCTAATGTTGTGAAACATTACTAAAGAGAACAGAATACGATCTTGATCAACCGGGTCCATCTTTGTTTATGGGAGGATGCAGTCGTATAATGATGTCAGGATTTCCAATTGTGGACACCCCCAAACAGCGTCTTTCTGCTTTCAGTGGGATAGTGGGAGGGGACTCGTGTATACTGGGGCTTTTGAGTAACCTGATTACTGCTGTGCATGTAAAGGTGTAATCTGATTTCTGCCATAACCTGCTTTCTCTCACTAATCTGTTTACTTAAGTGCATGTAAACGCAGTCAACGTACTTTGGAGAGCAACTGCACACATGTCACATTTTAATTTGTTATTAATAGTAAAACACTAATGAAAACCTTTTATCCAGATTAAAGTCGCTACAGTCACAGGGACACAAACTGACCCTGGGGTTACTGAGGGATTCCCATAACCCTTGATTAATATAATGGGGGAAAGTTAAAACCACTTGCAATTTTGTAAATAGCTTGTGATATAAGAGCAGCACTTTATTGATCCAGGTATTGACCAGCAACATAAGGCCACCAGGCCACTTTGGTGGTTCCCATGGGAACGGCAGCAAGAGGATAATACTGGTAAGTGTCAGAAGCAAGTTGCTGTTATTTATAAACTGAGGGTGACAGTTCTCCCAGAGGGAAAACATCTGTGAAGACACAAATACTGACCGTCGTGAGTCCTATTAGGACATCAACTAAGAAGGATCTGCTTTAATGCTAACTCATCCACTTATCTTGATTTTTTTTTTTAATTAGCACCAACTGGCCCAAACAAATAGAACAGAAAAGCAGCAGAAGCTCACACTCGAGAAGGTGAAACAGTTAGCAAAATTGCTGACAAGTAACTTGGTTTTAATCAACTAAATGTTCTGGTGCTATCAATACAAATTGTGTTATTCTCTTGATTTAATTTAATTGTATTGTACATTTGGTGGCGTAACCCTACATAATGGAGCTCTAACTGTGTTTGACTTTACTGGGAGAGGAGGCTTTAAATCCCGCGTTGCTGCTGGAGATGGATTTTAGTAGCTGTATTTTAAACGGTTTAACAAGCAGCAGCCATATATTTCATACAGTATGGCAATAAATTTCAACTGAACAAACCAATGACCTCGTGTTTCACACTACATCAAACAGCTCTCACAGAAGAGCTGCAGTGATACCATTCATCACATCATGTTCCTTTGCACCTTATCTGTTGCAGCTGTCTACTGTAATTGCACAGTTTGTACTGTAGTTTTAAATCACCGGGAGGTGATATATAACACCAAAGGCCAGGGCTGGTGTGTGACAAGCCTGGGAAGCTGGTGGGATTCAGGTAACAGTGGACAGGACAAACATTTACAAGCAATGAATTACTCTTAAATATGAGCTCACCACAGCGCACACGCCCACCGCCTCGGAAAAAATTGCATTTCTGAGAAATTCCCACACATCTGATCATCTTTAACCACTCCCCTGGTCACACCACAACATGTGAACTTTTGCCTCCTGAAAAAGTGGAACAATCTTGCTGAGCTGATGAAAACAGTCACACCTCAGAAATACTATGTTTCTGTCCAAAAGCCACTTAGAAAATATGAAATCTTGCAACGTGATGTGTGAATACAAAGTCTGTAACATTATTCATGCCTGTGAGGCAAAGAAAACAGAACATAATGAATGCTTTTTAGTCTACTATTTATCATCTTCTCTGGCAAACTTACAATTATCAACTTTCATCACATCTCCCAGCGTACTGTCTGGGCCGATGAGGGCAAACTACTGTTCAGAGCATCATTCTCCAACATATATTCATTTATATGAAAGTGCTCCGAGTCCAGCAGGGAGCACATGCTGAAATGTTTGGATTGGCACATCGCTGTGTATATACAAGAATATTAACTGCATGGGAGCAGCATCAGCTACATTACTTTCAATATAGTCCAAAGAATGAGCCTTTATCATCAACATCTGTTGTGCTTCAGCCAAATTAAGCTCTGTTAATCACACAGCGATCTGAAAACATGTTACTGTAGTCTGCTGAGATACAATCGCACACTTCACAGACTCTGTCTCGGTTAATTCAGTTTCAGCCACAGGAATTTACATGCACTTGACCAAACAAGCACATAAACAGACACACACACTCATCCACTGAGAAGGCACATACATCATTAATTACTTTCATTCATTAAAGAGTCATGAATTATTGAGAATGATAAAATACAGATCAGGACCGTAACTTTAGCTTGTTTGGCAGAGATGATTAAATGATGCATTTTTTATAAGTAAAACTAGAAACACGGTAATTAAATCAATTTAGAGAACAAAGATTTTTTTAAGAGGAGCAAAGTCGAAATTCCAACGTGAAACTTTTTTTTTTAACCACTCAGGTTCTGTTTCCATTTCTCAGCCTGCAAGTACTCAACTTTTATTTGGAAACTGAAGCGGTGAAGTCGGGGATTCGGTTTTTCAGTCTTACTCAGAGCGGTGACAGGTATATCATCATCACTGTTTATTCCTCCAGCTGCTCCCAGCCACAGCTCTGAGCAAATACCAGTGCATGCACCATAGGTTAGACAAACCTACTGCAACCACAAGCCATCCGGAAGCAGGCAAGGTGGTGGAGAGCGGGAACATGAACAACCGCTTTTTATTGCTTCCTGTAAACTACTTGATCATCACATCACCACTGTTGAAAAGGTCAGCATAAATACAGGAAAGCAGGCATGCCTTTATAGTATAACCCACACTAATCACATCCTCCAACCAGTTTTTATTTCCTAAACTTGACTTTCCATAGTACTTCTAGCAAATGTTTAGGGCCATGGACAGAAAGTTGGTTAACCCTTGGACTTGTGCCAGAAGAGTTCTGCCCTCCAGGAAAGGCAGGACCGGACCAGTCCTCCAGGGTTGTCAGGTGTGGCACACTCCTCTCAAACAGGGACAGATATTCAACCAATTAGAGAAATGCACAACGCATACAGTTGCCGTAATGCCTTGTGTGACAAAGGCTGCACTCTCAGGCACACCTTCTATTAATGGAGCCGGCACAGCAAAGCACAGCCGTTAAGGAGACTCCAAACACATACCACAGCAATACAAACATTAACGTCTGACATGCAGCTGAGCTCTCTCTGTATGTGATGACCACAGAAAGAGGGGATGTAATCAATGTTAACAGTGTAGGCACATGTGTGTTCAGGAAACTCTCTCATGTTCAAATGAAACCACTTCATGCAGGAAAGTCTACCCTCTATTGACAGTGTGTAGCCAGGCATTGAGCCCAGGACCCATAATAACAATTATTATAAGCAATAAAAATTCCCTTTTCTGTTCCAGAGTCAGTACAAACTTTCTATAACTTCCTTTAATTTCACTGACGAGGCTTGGTTCCTGTTTCAACATGTGGATAAATGGCATCAGGGTATCAGCCTGTTACTCCCTTTCCAGTAAGAAGTGTACTAAATTCACAAGATGCTGGCATTCAGTTATAAACTCAAACAAAACAGGCTGAGGGTAAAGCACAAAATGTGTTGTGACACAGACAGTTAGAGGGAGTGGAAGTTGACATACAACTGAGCGAAGGTTAAACGTGAACTTACAGTTAGCGGAAGGGAGCAGACCACGAAGATGACAGTGATGAGGGCCAGCAACACCAGATGATCCATCTCCTCTTCCCCCTGTCCAAACCAGGCCAGGCTTATCCTCCTCCTCCTCCCCGTCGACGCCACCGAGCCACGCCGCGTTACATGGCTCCGGTGCATTTTGCACAGACTGACAATCACTGAGCCGTTGCACACAAACACAGCAAAGATGAGCAGTGCCATCAGGGAGGAGTAGGACAGAGAGAAAGCCAGAATCAATTTGGCCTGCTCATCTCCTGTCGCATCCATATCAATGAAGCACCATGTCCCGGGACAGTACTGTCTGAATTTGCCATAGCCACTGTATGGCAGGAGGCAGAAAGCCAAAGAAAAGAGGTAAATAAAGAAAAGAGTGATTTTAGCAAACCTGGGGCGGATGTGTACAGAGTAAAAGTAAGGATGACTGATTGCCAGGCAGCGCTCCACAGCCATGGTGCACAGGATGAGCGTGGGCGCCAGGCCGAAGAAACTCATGGCAAAGCCAAAGAGGTTACACAGGCCTCTGCTGCCCATACCTATCAGGGACATGTTGCGGGCATAACAGATGAACACAGGCGGGCTGAGGAGGCAGGTGCCCAGCAGGTCGGTGAGGGCCAGGCCGGTCACCAAGATACAGAAGACGGACGATCTGGAGCGGTGCTCCTTCTGGTGCACTCCGAGGATGAAGAGAGCCAGGAGGTTTCCCACCACACCAAGCAAAAACATGATGATGCTTGTTACTGGTTTGTTATCTCCATTCACAATGAGAGCGTCATTGCAGGTGGTATTGTGACATGACTCATTTGAGACCATGCTTTTGTTCATGTTTAACTTACTGTCAAAAAATATGCCAACTCACTGTGGAATTAATAGGGGATTTCCAGGCAGCATAAGACAATCCTGACCTCTTGATATCATCATTTGGCAACACAGAAGGCAGGGGTGTATGATGAGTCCCATAATGCTATGCTGATTTAAAACATGATTCATAGACTTTCCCTTTCTGTTCGAGTCTCTTGTTTGCAGGAACTATAGAAATGTTTCTGTGGAATAAAGAACACAAGAAAATAGCTGCTTAGTGTTTAAGTCCATAACCTTAATAAGCCTTTGTGCTTCTTCTCATAGGCAGCAATGTTTATAGTAAATCATAGTTTCAGTGACCAATAATCTCTCACCTTTCACCGGCTCTGCAGGAGGCAGCACTTGAGCGACTGAAACTATTAAAGGCTTCCCACTTCTGCTTGTTCTTCTTTTTCCATTGATACAAGGTTCCGGTGTGTTAGGTTAAGATATTGTGCCAATACACGGATACGGACTTTAAAACTGCCGCTGCCGGTAACGCGTCCGCGGTTCCGCACTGAGTCCACGAACTGACAACAGGACTGTTGAAACTCCGCAGACTTTCTCTCTTCGCACCTCCCAGTTTCCTTCTCATCGATGCGTGGCCCCACCCCGTGCACTGCTGCACAGAGAGACGCCGACCGATCAGAAGCAAAGGAGCTCTTATTTATTTTCTGGTTAATAATCAGAATTCATTGTTTGTTAACTTGTTTCAATACAGCTGCGTTATGAGCACTTGTTTTTTTCTTATTTTAAGTTCTGACAAAACATATTACCTAGCTATAATGAGCTTTTATTGCAGTACAGACTTAAATAAATGATAAAACGTAGACACTAATATTTGGAAAGTCATGGATCCCAGATGCAGTGGAGGAAGTAATAGGCTGTAAATAAACACTGAGTGAAATTATTTGGAAATCATTTGAAACCCAGTAGTACAAAGACAACATGTCAAATGTTGAAACTGTAAAATTTTGTTGTTTTGGGGAAAATGTTCATTTTAAATTTGATGCCAGCACCACTTTTCAAAAAGGCTGGGACGGGGACGTGTTTACCACTGTGTTGCATCACCTCTTCTTTTAATAACACTCTAAGTGTTTGGGAACTGAAGACACTAGTTGTTTTAGTTTTGAAAGCATAATGTTTTCTTATTCCAACTTGATATAGGATTAGTTTGATATAGGATTTCAGCCACTCACCTCTCTTCCGGTGCCTCCTTTGTCATATTCTTCACTTCACATTTGACTGAAATTGAAAATGTTTTCTGTGAGTGACAGATCTGGACGCTGGACGGCAGGCAGAACATTTTAGCAGCCAGACTCTTATTACAGAACAATGCTGTTGGAATACGTGCAGAACGTGGTTTGGCATTATCTTGCTGAAATCAACAAGGCTTTCACTGAAAGAAACGTTGTCTGGATGGCAGCATATCTTGCTCCAAAATGTGCATATATAGAGTGAGGAACAGAAGTATTTGAACACCCTGCGATTTAGCAAGTTCTCCCACTTAGAAATCATAGAGGGGTCTGAAATTCACATTGTAGGTGCATTCTCACTCTGAGAGACAGAATAAAAAAAAAATTTCAGGAAATCACATTGTATGATTTTTAAAGAATTTATTTGTCTTGCACTGCTGAACATAAGTATTGGTACAGAAACCTTTGTTTGCAATTACAGAGGTCAAACGTTTCCTGTAGTTCTTGACCAGGTTTGCACACACTGCAACAGGGATTTTGGCCCACTCCTCTACACAGATCTCCTCTAGATCTGTCAGATTTTGGGGCTGTCGCTGAGCAACGCGGAGTTTAAGCTCCCTCCAAAGATGTTCTATTGGATTGAGGTCTGAAGACTGGCTAGGCCACTCCAGAACCTTGATATGCTTCTTACGGAGCCCCTCCTTGGTTATCCTGGCTGGGGGCTTTGAGATGTTACCACCCCCATGCTTCAAAGTAGGGATGGTGTTCTTGGGATGCAACTCATCCTTCTTTTCCTCCAAACACGACAAGTGAAGTTTAGACCAAAAGGTTCTACTTTGGTCTCATCTGACCACATGACTTTCTCCCATGCCTCCTCTGAATCATCTAGATGATCTTTGGCGAACTTCAGACGGGCCTGGACATGTGATGACTTGAGCAGGGGAACCTTCCGTGCAATGCATGATTTGAAACCATGACGGCGTAGTGTTTATACCGACAAGCTGCTTGGCAATTGCCCTGTAGCCCTTTCCAGCCTTGTGGAGGTCCACAATTTTGTCTCTGGTGTCTTTTGACAGCTCTTTGGTCTTGCCCATGGTAGTAGTTGGCGTCTGACTGACTGTGGGGTGGACAGGTGTCTTTAAAGAGCTCAGACAGGTGCTACTAATTTAGATTAATGAGTGGAGTAGAGGTGGACTTTTTCAAGGCACAGTAACAGGTCTTTGAGAGCCAGAATTCTTGCTGTTTCTCAGGTGTTCAAATACTTATGTTCAGCAGTGCTAGACAAATAAATTCTTTAAAAATCATACAATGTGATTTTTTTTTAAATTCTGTCTCTCAGAGTGAGAATGCACCTACAATGTGAATTTCAGACACCTCCACGATTTTTAAATGGGAGAACTTGCAAAATCGCAGGGTGTTACTTCTGTTCCTCACTGTAAGGGATAATCACCTTTATTTGGCCAAGTATGTTACACACACAAGGAATTTGTTTCCGGTACAGAACTGAGGCAGCCATCTGCAGCGCCAACTCTCACCGATGGCTCTAACCATTGGGGCCAACTTGGGGGTTCAGTGTCTTGCTCAAGGACACTTCAACATGTGGACTGCAGGCACCGAGATTCAAACCTTCAACCCTTCGGTTGGGAGACGACCCACTGAATCACAGTCACCCCCATCATTCATATGACATTCAGCTTTAATGGTGCCTTCATAAATGTGCCATTTATTCACAATGTGTGCACTAATGTACCCCCATGCTATCATGGATGCTGGATTTTGAACTGTGTGACAAGTTGGATCATCGCTCTCCTCTTTAGCCTGGAGGACATGATGTCAGTGTCCACATGCAGCAGGCTTGAGGCCTTCTTCCTGGTGTTAGCATGAGCAAGCCAACATGAGGGCACAGTAGATGTTTGACTGGTTTGTTGGAATGAATACTAACACAGGGTGGAATCAGAAGTCTGGCTAGTTATCTGGTCAGCTATTTGAAATGTTTGGTGAGTCATTTTAAACGTTTGGTGGCTAGAACAGCAGTTGAAATGTGCTAGTGCTAGTGACTGTTTTGTAACACTTAGCATAATTTGCCTGAGTAGTTGAAGGGTTGTATTGGGTGTGTGGGTGCAGGCAAAGAGGGGGTTGGTTCTGGGACACTGTTGAGCCTTCTCGGCATCATGGGCCGAACTCAACAAAACACCAGTTAGTGAGAGGGTGCCCACCTGATGACCCTGTAGACTTGCCTTCACTCCTACACCCACACAGAACCTGTATCAGTGTTGGTGATAATATAGTTATAGACTCAATGGAATTGTTAATAGTCTTCTTTTATTAGACAATCTTGGTAGAACAGTGTCAGTGGCTGGACAGCTGAGCGGACGCCGCTCTCAGAGGTGCCATTACAAGCAAGTTGGACCAGCCACTGCTTAATCTGAGCAAATACAATGCAGATTCTGTGTGTCAGGCCACATATGTGCTTGGATGATGATAGGCTTCAGGGATGCTTTCTGTTAAGGGTAGGTTAGGTCTGGAAAATGGTGTTGCTTATTGTGGGGCTCTGAAGATTTATGACAGCATGGCCTGACAGCCCCCTCTGTTGGGCCAAATAATGGGTAAACATCATTTAACTTGTATACTGAGCTGCCATATGAGTGCTCTCCCATTCTTTGGCACATTTAATTGTGTATTATTGACTGTAATGCTTGAGTAAATGTACTTCCACCACTGTCCAAATCTACTGTCACAGTCTGTTTTCCCATTATTTCTTGTTTCTTGGGAGTTTAAAAAAACGGTAATCCAAATAGTCTTGTAAGTCATGTAAGTATTTGGTTTGGCAGTGTCTCTTCTTAGTTTTTTTAAAAGTGTTTTAAATAGCCTTCGTCTTGGCTAGTTTTCATTTCACTCAGCCTTTGGTACAGCTCCTTTGAGAGAAAGAACCAGTGCACTTTGGCTGAACAGAAATGCCACAGCTGAACCTTGGCTGCTTGTTTTTGCTTTTCTTGTCCTGCTCTTTAACTCTTAATTTCCCTAACACAAAATATAGTGTTTATCACATTTGTGCAGCCTCTGGTGAAATACCTGAGTGAAGAGAGAGGTAAATCCTCCAACAGTGTGTTTCTATGTGTGTGCGCGATCTGAAAGAGACCGCATGCTTTGATTTGTGAGAATATGTGGTCTCACATTTGAACAATTTGAAGAGTGTCTAATGAAAGTGAAACCAGAAGAGAAAACACAATTAGCGCTCATACAACAGGAGCAACAATAAGGACACACCGCATTCAGATCATTTATGTAAATAAACATGATATACATGTAGTCATTAACATGTAAACTACTTGCATTCATACTCTGAGATACTGTAGGTAGAAGTACAGCAGTATACTTAAATACACATGTAAAAGTACCTATGCAATATGCAAAGGTACTCCTTTCAATTCAGACATATTTAATCAATGAAATTAAATCTTATGCATCATATTTTACAAGTCATATGTTGTGGAAAATAGTGTAAATACTCAAGTAAATTAATGTACTTTATTCTCCATCTCTGAAAGGGCAGGGTGACCTAGTGCTTTGCTTTGCCCTTTGCCAAAATAAATTGTTTGGCCTGAGGGGAGTGTGACATCATTCATTTGTCCACACAAGTGTGAAGCATCAACACCGATAACAGATGTCAAATCTTGTTTTAATGATGCTGATTTGCCCAGGGAAGATGCTATAATTACAGCCTCCAGTTGCTTTCCAGGTCTGTGTTCAGGTTGACCACATTTGTTAAATATCATACACATACAGGTGTTTTCATTTAATGTTCATGTTAGGACCTGTCTGGACTCTGTGTGTCTGCATGTGAGCAGACTGTGTCTGATTTCCCTTGCACTCTATGTTTCAACAGTTACAATGTAAATAAAATGATCTGTATTTTCACATCTTTATAGTCTTATTCTATACGGTATATGTTGTTTAATGTACCATGTGACTACTACAACATCTGCACCCAATTTAAACCTGAGGTCTAATCTGATAGAAAAAGCAATATTAAAAAAAACAATGGTGGAAGTTTCTGACCAAATTCTGTGTGGACACTGTCCTCTGACAGCCCAGCCATCATAGTCCAGTGTAAAAATGTTGCTGTACAGAACTCATCTAAGTTACCTTCAGTCAAGGCCCTCATATTACAGTAATTAGTAATGAACAGCAGTGAGTTCTTTGCAGACTGCTGCACTTCACTGGTGAAGGTTGCTGGAGCTGTATGCATCCTGAAAAGAATAGCATACCTGCAGGAACTACTCAGGGCTGAATAAAAGGTCCTGCAATAATTCATCAGCAATAAAGATACTTACAAAAACTTTCTGCAGCAGTATTAGCATTACTGTTATCATTAGCATAAGTAACTAATATCTTAACACAGAATACGTTTTTAAAAAAAG